ATGTCACCACATCCACCCCATCAATATAGTGGAGAACCCATAGTCCTCCACTATATTCCACTGGACCCCTTCTACACTCTGCTCCCCACCTCTCCTTCTGGTAGTCTCAATTCTACAGTTAGGTTTCTAGGGTTTGTTTTGGGTTTGGTTTTGTCTTGAGTTCCCCCCCCCTTTTTTTTTTAAAGATTTATTCATTTATGCATACAAGAACTGGAGTGTAGACCAGAGGTGCAGGGGGTGAGAGGATCCACCAGAAACAGAGTAGGGTGCAGAACAGGAAGATTACTGATATACACTGCTGAGGGTAGGAGCAGGCAAGACAGGAGAGATCTGGGACTCCATGTGGGTCATCTCCCAGGCCGGGGAGCAAACTCATGTGCAGTGGCTGGCTATAGCTTGATAGCACTGAGACTTAACCCCTGTACCAATAGGGAGACTCTGTTTTGTTTCTGTATGTTCCATATATGAATGAAACCATCCAGAATTTGTCTTTCACCTTCTGGCTAATTCGCTTAAGGTAAACATCTTTTCCAACTTGTTTTTTTTCCTGTTTAAAGAACCCTCATACTTAATTGACCTTTGGTAAAGCTCAACATAGGAGCAACTAGTATTAACAGACTGAAAATTAATCTGAGGCATAATCAAGCAAGGGTTGACACAAAACAGAAAGGCACCTAGGGCTTTTTAAAAAAAAAAAACTTCAAGTATTCAGTATTTTTTCAGTAGTTATTTAGAAAAAGCTATCCCACTTCCTTATTTCTTAAACTAAGAAGATATAGAGCAAGCTATTCAATTTCCTTTTTTCTCTCACTTCAAGAAATCATTTTGAAGTAGGGCTTTTTTTTAATCTAAAAAGTGCTATTTAACTAATTGTAGATTAGAGCATCCTTTGTCTCCATTTCCTTTATTTTTTTTTATTTTTTTTTTTTTATAGAGGCATGTTTTATTTATTTATTTTATTTGTTTGTTTGTTTTGTTTTTACATGCACTGGGTACAGTCAGAAGCGCGGGAGGGTGAGAGAATTCACCAGAGCCAGAGTGGGGAGCAGAGCAGGCAGAAGGACTGAAGTACACTGCTGAGGGGAGCAGCGGGCGGCAGGAGAGGTCTGCGCGCCATGTGGGACCCTCCTCGGGTGGCCGGGGAGCAGCCGGGGATCGAACCGGCGCCGCAGAGGCCGCGGGCAGCTTCGCAACCCAGCGCTCAACCGCTGCGCCACCGGGGAGGCCCTCCATTTCCTTTAAATCAATATCAAGATTTTAAAAAATGGTAACTGAGGTAGTTTCTAAGTCACCCAACTAGAATCACCCACAACAAAGAAACCAACTAAATGCTAATTTGTCTTTTTATAAAAGGAAGGTGTTGCATACTCAAACTGAAAAAGTCTTACTAACTTTTTACTAGTGCAGTGTTGATCCAAATTATGGAAAAATCAGAACCTCCGTGTCTTTTTTCTCATTCTGGTTATTTTCAGCAATTGCATTGCTCATAATTTACCAAAGAAAATGCAAACAAAAGGAGAAGTTAAATATAAAGTAGTCAATTCTGCTTTCTGCATAATATTCACACATATGTCTTATATAATGGTATCTCCCACCTATCATTTTTTTCACTAAAAACTTATTTTTAATTCTTCCCATATTGCATGATCTCTACTTTCCCATTGCTCACTTCTCTGCTGTCTTTACACCTTAACTTTTCTTTTTTTAGTGTTCTAATGAAGAGACAGCATTGGAAAAGCTACCCCTGACAAGTAAGATTCAGTAATTAATAGGTAGGGATAGAAAATGTAAGAAGCAAGGTAATAGGAGAAGGAGGCCTTGGATAGAGAGGAGAAATTTTAAATTCAGCCCAAAACTATAAAGTTTGCAGCCCTGTTTTAAGGTCAACATTTAAAATTACATAAAACATGCTAAGATTAGGGCCTCCCCTGGTGGCGCAGGCAGTTGAGCACCACGCTATGAAGCTGTCCGCAGCCTCTACAGCACCGGTTGGATCCCAGCCAGCCGGGGAGGGTCCCACATGGCGCAGCAGACCTCTTCTGTCCCACCCCCTTCTCCCCTCAGCAGTGTATTTCATCAGTCTGCCTGTTCTGTTCCCAGCTCTGTCTCTGGTGAATCCTCTCACCCTCCCACGCATCTGGCCTGTACCCTGATTCTTGTATAAATAAATAAATCAATCTTTTAAAAAAGTGCTAAGATTATATATATAAATATACTACATTAGATAAAAGGGTAGTAAAGGAGAAGAAAAGGGGAGATTGAAATTAATATCCTGCCCTGCTCTTTCCCTTTAAGGGATCCAAAATAACCTTCAACAAACAAGTCTTCTTAGACTTTCACAAATAATTGAGATTCCACTGAATAATGAGTATTAATCATTGACTAGTCAACAGATCAATAGGAAAGCGAATATATTACCTGTGTCCCCAGTGAGAAAGTGTCTAATTTCTGCTCTGGCATACCGTTGCCCTGGGTTGCAGAAATACTGGTTAGGGAATCCTTTATTTCTCGGCTGGGGAGGGGAATAAAAAGTCCTTTGTTTGAGTCTGTGTTAAAAGAAAAGGCACACAATGAAGCACTGACCAGACTTCAAAGGCAATATATCTTATGGAAATATACTGGAAGAGGAGTCACACAATTGAGAGCTAGTTCTAGTGCCACCGCTTGGAATCCATGTGAACTTGGACAAATTGCTTCACCTCTCTGAATCTCACACTTCATTTGTAAACACTGATAATAAAACCTAACCGTGCCTATTTCTTAGGATTTGGTGAGGTTAAAACAAGACAATGGATATAAAATGACTTCATAAATTATGAAGCACTCAATAGAAATCAAGAGGAAGGCAAGTATTTTGCACATTTCCTAAATGAATAAATAATGACCTTTGACACCAATTCAATAATCTTCAGCTACAAGGGAAGATGGCTTGGAATAGACTCCTGACATCATATATCTCCAGGGCTGTAAACAGCAGTCAACAGTGACTCATCACTTCAAACCGGCCTCTTCTGCCTTGATTTCTTCATTTGTAAGAGAAAGACTAATCAGGATCTACTTCACAGAGAAGAACCTAAATCTTCAGTGGGTTTTTGTTTTATCTTTTGCCTCTGATTAGAAAAACTTTAAAAAGGAAAACAAAAACTGATTCCTAGCCTAGCCCATCCTGGAAACTGTTATCACAAAGAGCCAGTTATGATTTCTTTTATAACACTTGTACAAAAGTTGTGGCACATTTTTGATCAATACTCACTAATTGTGTATTACAATTAGTAATCTGGGATTTGGGGTCTCCTGGGGGAACTTGGGTGAAAATGAGATCGTTTTGGGAGGTTTTTTCCCAAAAGGATTATGTAAAAATTAAGATAATTTCAAAACCTTAGGCCTGGCCTCCTGCCAGGTCTCATCTTTGGGTTCTGGCAACAGAAAGCTGCTATAAACCAGTGCAACTGAGAATATGGAGTACATAAAACTAGTGTTTTGAAAGCCTAGTCCATCAATCCATTTGGGAGTTCTAAAATTCTTCCTTTTTCTGACTTGCTTTTTGAGGCTGAAATACCCTACTTCTTTGATATAGGATGCTCTTCTACTTGGAAGAATCACTTCTTAAAGTGACATAAGCTCTCAAAGTTTATGTTCTCTGGTTCCCACCACAGCAGTAAAAGCAAAAAAAACAAAGAAAAAAACAAAGTGAAGCAGAAATTTTGGGTTTAAGCCTCATTCTTAGTGGAAAGTGAGAATGGTTAGTAAGCTGTGCCATTGGGTTCAGGCCTCCTCTTACTCTTATCTTTTATTTTTTTTAAGATTTATTTTATTTATATAAGAGCTAGGGTACAGGTCAGAGGTACAGGAAGGTGAGAGGATTCACCATAGAGCAGGGAGCAGAACAGGCAGATGAACCAAAAGCACTGCTGAGGGGAGCAGCAGGCGAGACAAGAGAGGTCTGCTGCACCATGTGTGTATCTCCCTGGCCGGCCGGGAATCGAACTCGCGCTACAGAGGTTGTGGACAGATTCATAGCACTGTGCTCAACCCACTATGCCACCGGGAGGCCCTACCCTTATCTTCTAGAATAACACACTTTCCAGTTGTCCAAGACTCTGTTCCATCCTGATTTCCTCTTGGGGCTCCCACTGCACTTATGTTCCTTTCATATTCCCACGTTCTTTTTCTTTCAACCTTACATCTTAGTTCAAGCAATCTCCCAGATCTGGATTCTCTGCTGAATGATATCAAACTTCTCTTTGGTTTCAGCTGTCACCTAAATCTGGACCAGCCTGAATCTAACTCTCTTAACTCTGATCTCTCTCTTGGTGTTCAGACATCTAAGTTTCTTGAACTGTCCCCTAAAAAGTATCCACAGACATCTCAAAAGTCAGTATGTTCTAAACTGAACTCATTATCTTTACTTCCAGGCCTACGTCTGCTGTGGCCCCATGTCCAGCTCCAACCAGCATCTTAATATTGGCATTACTACTCACACAATCCCTCAAGAGATAAGCTTGTTTTTCAACTCTTATTCACCTCAAATCTCATCAGTTTCCTAGTTCTATAGAATCACTTTTTTTTTTTTTGAGGCGATGGATCTTTAATTTAGATGTAATTCACATGCAACTCACCCTTCTACAGTGTACAGTTTAATATCTTTTAGTATATTCACAAAGTTGTACAACCATCACCACCATCTATTTTATTACTCCCAAACAAACCAAATTAGCTGTCACTTGCAAGTCTCTCCTCCCCACTAGCCTCTGGCAACCATCAAAACACTTTTTGTCTCTGGGTTTGCCTATTCTGGACACATAAAAATGGAATAATATATTTGGCCTTTTGTGTCTGGTTTCTTTCATGTGGCATGGTGTTTTTTAGATATACATTGTAGTATCTATCAATTCTTCATTCCTTTTTTATGGATGAATAGTATATCTTATGTGAATATACCATATTTTGTTGCTGCATTTATCAGTTGATTGGATTTTGGCTATTATAGACAATGCTACTTTAATTCCCATATAAATGTGTGTGTGGCCACAGGTTTTCATTTCTCTTGGGTGTATACCTATTCGTCAAATTGCTGGGTCAAATGGTAACTCCATATTTAACTTTTTGAGAAACTGCCAAACTGTTTCCCAAAGAAGCTATATCATTTTATTTTTCCCACCAGCATTGATGAGTGTTCCAATTTCTCTGTATCTTCGCTATCATTTTTTATCTGTCTTTTTATACTAGCCATCCTAGTGGGTATGAAGTAGTTCTGATTTGTATTTCCCTCATGATTAGAGATACTGAGCATCTTTTCATGAACTTATTGGTCAGTTGTATGTCCTTTGGAGAAATGTCTATTCAAATTCTTTGCCAATTTTGTCTTTTGTTACTGAGAATGTGTTCTTTATATAGACTGGATACTAGACCCTTGTCAGATATATGATTTATAAATATTTCTCCCATATTGTGGGTTATCTTTTTTACTTTCTTTATTCTTTGAATAGATGAAGTCAAATTCATCTATTTCCCCTTTGATTGTTATCCTTTTGGTATCATATCTAAGATAAAGACTCATTACCTAAACAGAAAAACTGGAGCCTCCTGGTGGTGCAGGGGTTAAAGACAGAGCGCTATCAAGCTATCACCAGCCATTGCAACATGAGTTTGAATCCCTCCATCCCCAGCCAGGGAGCTGACCCACATATGGCGCAGCAGACCATTCCTGTCATTCCCATTGCTCCCATCAGCAGTGTTTTTCAGTAGATCTGCCTGTTTTGCTCCCCACTTTTGTCTCTGGTGAATCCTCTACCCCCCCACACGCCGCTGGCCTATACCCAGTTCTTGTATGCATAAATAAATAAATCTTTGAAAAAAAAAAGAAATCAGGAAAAACGGACACCTAGTTCTACTGCCATTATGGCTAAACATATCATATTTCACAATCAGGAAATACCAGCAATTTGCATTCTGACAATTTTTTCTTTCTATACTTCAAACATAAAATAGATACAACACTTAATTCTAAAAGCAAATATAACTATGACATTGCTGCCAGTTCTGGTTTTTACACCTATATAACCAAAGTGATAGGACAATTTTAATGTCTCCTTACCACTGAAAATTGTTTGATATTTGAAATGACAGACTCGAAGTGGCCTTCTAATGCTGCTGCAGATGCAAAGAAGTTATAATTGGTTACTTCAACTACTAATAAACATAGCACGATGAGGTCCTGCTTCACATATCTGGTCAAAAACCTTGTAATCTGCCTAGGGTTGAAACAGAGATGCACTGCCAGATCCCTTTCAAGGAATGATCTGTTATCTCTGGCTTTGGGGAGGCATTCCCCCCCGCCCCATTTTTAGCAGTTTTACTCTTCATAGTAGTCTACCTGAGCTATAGAATACTACTACTCCTGATGCTATGCCCTTCCAGTGGCAGTCTACAATTAGCACTGAGAAGGCCCAGGCATTTAGCCTCAGATGGAGCATTCTGAAGGGCAACCCTCATTCTTGAGCTCTCCCTCTGCTCAACTCTCCTGCCTCCCCGTCCTCTGGTGTTGATCTCCAACAAACATCTTTATACCTGTGATTCCACTGAGATAAATTTTTAAGAGTAGAAATAACTATCTAGCACTACTCTCCAAAATAAATGAAGCCTTGCCTTTGATTGCTAATCCCCAATGAAATAATTTAGTCCCTGAATTTTGAGATATTCACATATGAAAACCACTGCAGATATGACAATTGTGAAAGAAAATTGGTGGGGTTTTTCCCCATCATGAAGGCACAGTCTATAACCTTAGTAATCTTGTATTTCCCCATAAATATTCTGAGATGTCTTTTATTCAAAAATAAACTCTTCTGAAATTTGGACTCCCTAGGAAAACCTTGCAATAAAAATATTAAATATTTTATTTCCAAATATTCTTCTCAACTCTCAAGGATTTAATCCATCTGTACCTCTTCATTTGCATACACACTGCTACTGTTGCCTGCTTCATGACAGGTTTTCACTACTTCCCACTTGGGAAGTAATTCCTGCCCATCTAACTAAATCTAGTTTAAATCTTTTATCTAGTTTAAGCTCGCTCTCTAAGCCACACATTCAATCATGCCTCCCATCAAAAACATCTTTGTTATCCATTTTCAAAAGAATAAAATGAAAATAGTAAACAGCTTCTTTGCAACTGGTCTCTAATTACCATAGCTCTAACCACAAACTAAGTCAATTTCCTAATCTGTCACACCTATATTTGCTGTTCCTACTTTCTCCACATCAAATACTACCTTCAACTATGCCCACTGAACTCTATTTGAATGCCCAGGTTAAATTAAATGTCTCTTTTGTGAAGTCTTTTCCCAGGTCCCCGGTTTAGCCTCTCCTCCATAGTTCTGCCACAGTGGAGCTTTCCTCTCACCCTGACCTGTGATCTAAATAGCTGTGACAAATCTCTCTCTGAATGAGGAGTATCTGAAAATTTGACAACTGTTGTGTAATCTCCTTGTATTTCTAGCCTCTAACACACGACCTGTCTAGTAGATCTATTCGTGTTTGCTGA